GAATGCTTGCCTGACTTTAGGCAGGGAAGAAGCAGATTGCCCAAATAGAATATGTACTGATCAACTATTCGTTTTACTTATTAGATGTTATAGGATGTTGTTCATCTCTCCAGAAGACTAAAAGAGTTATAGTCTCTGAACAGCATGCTTCCTGATGCGGGAAGAGGTTTTTAACAGCAGCCATTAGATAAATTACCTACATGCAGCATTTCCCTGTAAGTTAGCTTAGATTTTATTTGAGGAGCTCTGTAGAGTGCATAAGCAAAAAAGATCAAATTCTGTCAAAGAGATGGCTTTTTCAAACAAGGTCTGCCTACTGGAATGTGGAACTCTCAAACTTTACGTATGCGTGACTGTCTATTTTTCCACAATAGGTGGCTTACTGATATATCTAAAATGAACAAGTCACAAACTCACAGATTCTTTAACTCTATCTTTTTGTGGTAAGGAAAAAGGACAGCATGAAAATGAGTTGGCAGGAAGTTTCCCTTGGGCATATAATGGCCAAAAAATCACCCATGATGTTAAACCAGGATAGGAGGCCCACATATGGCTCCCAGCCTCAGGGCTCCTAAATAACTGCTACTAACATTTGGTGGCAAAATGGTTGATTTTGGGTGGATGATACTTAAAAACCCTAACACCATCCCGCCCAAAATCAGCCAACTATGGTCTCGTTTCCCTGCCAGACTTATTTCATCCACTTTAACCCTTAAAAATGCTGCCTCGAGAAACATATACACCTCAGAAGTTATCTTCTTAAAAAAAAAAAAGTGTGGTCAAGCAAAACCCTGTGCTAAGCCACAATGTACAGTAGTTAGTTTTTACTTCAGCTTAGTGTCTTGTGTAAATGCAGACTTTGTGTTTTTATGAAATATGGCTTAATATGAGCTGTAGTCTACTAAATATGGTTTATTGTACAAACTGTGTTTAAGTTAACAATAGTTTGATGTGTTATGTTAAAGCATGTGTGTTAAATTCTGTAAGTCTCTTTGGTAAATCAAAATCTTTAATCTGTGTATTCTGGAGCTAAGATTAATTATCTGAATTATTAAACTTACTGTTCTGAAACTCTTGAGGACACATTGTGATGTTAAATAGCGTTCTGTATCAGCATTAGCCATTCAGTGCTGGACAATTTAGCCAAGCAAGATGGGAAACTTGACTGGGGTGAAATCTCTAAATGGGACTTCTCTTTGCTGTGTATTAAGTACTGAAGAGAGAAATGAGAAAGATACTGTCCAAGAGACATACGTAGGTGAGAATGGGGGTGGGGGGTTGATGGTTTTAGAATAAAGACATCACTGATTGAAAAAATTGGGTCCAGAAAAGTCAGTTGTGCCTAGATGTCAAAAAAGCCTGACTTTTTAGTTTTATTAGTTATGGAGTTAGCCCACTCTTTACCTATGTTGGACTAAGACTAGAGAGACTTAGTTCAAGCCTTCCTTTAGCCATGCAAATGAAGGGTTATAGTTTTGGAGAAAAATCAAAGGGGGGAGTGCTATGTACTGATGTCTAAAAGGAAAACTGGAATATACATATAACAAATAGGAAGTATTTATGTTAGATGTCTTCAAAACAGATTTTTTAATTTTATAAGCTCAGAGCAATGATGCATAGGAACTGACGGTAGTAGAAACTAACAGGAAAAATAGCTCAAGATGGATGGGTGGATGGGTGGTCCTAAAGAAGGAGGTACAAAGGACAGTTTCAAAGAGGATAAAATTTAGAGGACAGCAAAAGAAGCCATTGTGGCTACAAAAACATTTAGTGAAGATCTGAAATTAAGAGACACATACAGGGAATGGGCAAGGTCACAAAGGAAAAGTATAGATGGATAATCCCAGACTTCAAAGAAGTGAAAGCTCAGAATGAACCAAGTTTAGCCAATGATGCTTCGAACAGCAGCAAAGTAAGGAGAGTAAACAGGACTTTTCCCAGCCTCTTTACTAGCAGCACCCGTGTGTACGTGCATACATGGGCACGCAGGCACTAAGAACCTCAGGGTGGGCTGTATATTATGCTGCTGTGGGTCATGTGACCAGGTGAAAAAAAGGAGGGGGCTTAGAATGGACCAATCACCAACGTTCCAAGCGACTGCCCGACTACATCTCAAACTGGGATTTTTTTTTAAGGATTATTTTTCTCTGCAGCCTTTGGCCTGATCTCGCCCATTTTCCAGCTCAATTTTCTTTTGCTCTCAACTCTCCCCAAATCCAATTTGGTTCCATTCTGATCAGTTTTCAGCGAGTTATCAGACTGGCAAGCAGACACACAGAGAGTTCTGACCCCATTCTGTAATTTATTTCCAGCATTCTATCGGGTTGTAAATAGGGGTATCCTTGGGGCAGGGGGGTAAAAAAAATCAAGATGGTAAGTGGAACTACGTGATCATTTTAAAAAGGGGCATGGCTTCTATTGCATAGTCGTGCCCACCATCTTGACTCTTTTGACTCCCCCTGCAGATGTTCCTGGCTGGAAAGAATAAAAAAGACTTCTTTAATAAATTTAGGCTAAAAGACAAAGAAAAGCATTAGTTAACAGCTGTTCAGTGAAAAATGCAAAATACTAACAGACAGCAAAGTCCATCAAAATTCATAACATATAATTTTAAGCAAGACTAACATATCTCGTTGAACTGACTGGGTCTACTCAAAACATAACTAGGCATCTACTTCATGAAGTGATACTTATTCCTATATGTTTCAAAATGTCATCGTTGATTTTATGTTTTTTGCACGTTCAGGAAACATTGCAGTGCACCCACTCCACAAAGGAGACAGCTCCATAATATGGACAGACAGAACAGAAAAAAACAGCATTTTGAGAAAGCCAAAATGTTATAAATTCCATAATGTACAAAACGAGATATTTTATAAAGCTGCAAATTAAATTGAGAAAGTTCTTTTAATCTTTCACTCACTGTGTCAAACATTAGCTCTCATAAAGATAACACAGCACTTGGCTCACTTTTACTATTTCGTTATATGGAAATACAAATTATTAAAACCTATTTCTTGCATAAGAGCCTTGCTATTATTAGGAAGGCATGCTCTCTCATGTTATTGCTCTCAGAATAAATGCATATTAGAGGGAGACATTGTGGAAGTTACTTATTCAGTCATTTTGTGAAGTTAGTTAAAAATGAAATGAAATGAAATGAAAAGGAAGGAAGGGATGTATATGCTTCTGAAATTAAGAGAAGGGGCAAGGATGATCCTGTAAATATTGATCAAGAAGCAGGGCTGAATTTTGAGAAACATTGTGCAACATTTGGCATACAAGTGGCCTGGAGGAAAATATGTTCTGTTATTCGACATGAATGAGTGGGTGGGATTAAGAGGAGAGAGTACAGCAGAAATTATTGGGCCTTTTGGAAAACCAAAAATTAAAGAGAATGGTGAATTTTTGATATCCACTTAAAAAAATAAAATTGTTTCAAATTCATAGTTTAACAATAGCAAACTAAAAGCATGATTGATTTGACTATCCATGATTTGGTTTTATTTCACTGTTTATGATGGAAAATTGAATTAATGCTGCATCTAAGGATGTAGAGAGATTCTGAATATGGAACAGATCACTTTTTGATAGAGTCAAGAGTGGATTTGGGAGAAAAAATGGACATAGAATAAAAGGAAATAAGTTAAAGAAACTATGGGAAAACAAGCCCTGTATAACAATAAATTGAAAGATAGATTCATTGTGCCATCAGAATGAATGGGAAATGGATGTAAGGAAAATGGATATGGAAGCTGCTTGGAAGAGAGTGAGTAAATTATGCTTCAAAATGCCCCAGGAGTGTGAAAATTTATGCTAATAGAAAATATGAAAAAAGATGCTTTGTGGAATGATGAAGTGAAAGAGATCACGGAGGAGAAAAATGCATATAAGAGAATGATTGCTGGAAAAAATAAGAATGAAAGCAAAATATTATATAGTGTGTAGAGAGAAAAAATATGGGGGCAAAGAACATAATCAAGGAAAGCAAGGATCAGTTAGGATTACGAGAGACAGAGAGATTTTGATGGAAATAAAAAGTTGCTTTGAAAGTGGCTGAAAAAGACTAAACAAGAAGCCTCCAGTAACATGAATTTAATTGAATATATCTCTATTCATACATCACACTAAACCATGGTTGCAACAAAAGTCAGCAACAAATCATGCTATCAAGCTGGTTTATTCCACTAAACCAAAACAAACCTTGCCTTGTTCACTGATCACATTCACACACACACTACACCAAAAAATAAACACACTTGCATAATGATGTCATTTTGGAGATGACATAATACTTGGGATTTCCAAATGATGCAAAGTACATCATCATATGATGTAAATCCCAAAAATGCCTTACTCTACTCTTCACCAGACATTCCTAAGTAAAGGAACACACACACCCTGCCTTTAGTTCAAATGTTTCATTTATCAAAAACAAGGCAATCTGTCCTATTGTTATTAATATTGAGTGTGATTAGGCAAATAATAAAATATATTCAAATGAAAACACATTCCAAGGCAAATAGCAAAATATATTCAAATGAAAACACACTCCAATTAATCAAAATATTTATACAACAAAATGAGCTCTGAATAACTCTCTCTACAATCAGTCTGTCTTGGCGCAACAAAGCAATGGCATTTGGCCGTAAATTTATTAATGTTGTCAAAATTTAAAGTTGGAATGGGGTTCTACTAGATGTTGCTCAGCTGTAACTTCCAGCAGCTCACACAAGTATGGCCAAAGATGAAGGATGTTGATAGCTGTAGGTTACAACCCAATGATGTTGGAAGGGCTGCTGCTTCCTGACTCCTGAGCTAAAAGAAAAGCTAAGTCAATCTGAATAATATCTTGGACTGATTTCATTTGAGAATGCACATTGAAACGTATTTCTACACAGATTATTGGCAAGTAGTAAAGAGATAAAGATGTAGAGGAAACATCAACCTTGTTGGAAAAAATAAATAGTGGAACTGAATCTATCTTTTTCATTTTGCAGATGACATGGAAGCCATTCCTGTCAAACAGTTTGTTAAACATATCAGTGAATTGTATGCCAACAACCAGCATGGATTTTCAGAAGATTTTGAGGTATGCATTAGAAACTTTTAGAACAGAAATCTCCTTTTTAGCATTGAAATGATTGGTTATGATCCTGTGATTAGAATAGTCCAAAATGTCTATTCCGAAATAAGTCCTGTTGACTGCAGTGACCCTACTTCCAGGTAAGTGGATTTAAGATTGTAATTCTCTTATGCCAGTGCACTTGCTGATTGGGAAGTGGAAACATTAAAGCCTGGAAGGAGCAGCTGACTATGAATGGGGACATAGAGACAGCACCAAGTGGGCAAGGGTGCTGGAACCTTGCAATGTTTGCCTCCTGAAAGACAGCCAAAGAAGAAAGAGCTTTGGCTGTGATGTAAGCAGAGTCATCTTGGTGTGGTCACGTTCTTTTGAAAGAGTTTTCAGGAGATTGTGAGTTTCAGAGAAATAAATGTTAATGTGGCATCTGTACTGGCATGACAGTATTACAACTGGTGATGGATCTGCCATAATACCTGTATAAATTGAATGAATGAATGAATGAATGAATGAATGAATGAATGAATGAATGAATGATCAATCAGTCCTGCCTGATAACATGTATTAAACTACAACATTTGAAAGTTGAGAAAGTTGAAAAACCTGCATCTCACTTAAGAAGAAAAAAGAAAGAAAGAACAGGAATAATTTGATACCTAGAGTGTGAAAACTGGGATATGGTGTTGACCATCAGCAATTGAAACCAAGACTATGCATGCTGAAGACTTTTACAGCTTTGAAACACAAGTACTTACTGCAGCTGTGTGTGTAACTGACTCAATGTGCTCCATGGCTTTATAAATTCATGTGGCTTAGATAAACACTGCTTCATGCTTAATGACAGTGACAGACTCAGGCTCTAATCAGCAAAAACAGTTTTTCCAAAAGCCAGTATTAACAGTTCTGAATACCCTATGTTCCTTTCAGCACAATTGGGCTTTGAAATTGCTGTCAAGGAGGAGGCATCTTTGAGCTTTCTCAGCCAAAAATAGCGTGCAGCTGTTGTGTCATCTCTCTCAGGACCAGAGGGAGAAATATGGTTTCAGGGCCTGACATATTTTAATAATCAGGTGTTAAAAGGGCCATGATTAAATCATAAAAGGCAGCTATATTTACAAATAAACTACTGTTACCAAATTGTTGGTTTGATAGGGAGTATCTCTGTGCTCAGCATAGTACAAATAAGGCAGCAAGCTTTTTCTTCAACATGGTCCTTTCAGGCTTCTTCCTGACAGTTTTTGCTTATATGCTTAGTGATTAACTGCATTGTCTCATAATTTAGACACCAACCCCAAAATAATAGAGAAAAATCCTATTGTGCCACTCATGAGCATTTTGTATTCATGAGGACAGCGGCTGTGCAAGGTGTTAAAAGTGATTTAGTTAAATTGACTCTTGGCTGGATGACTGAACAGGGACATTGAGGTATTTAACAATGTTGATGGTATTCAGGACAAACATTTATCCTCAGGAGAGCAAGATTTGATGGGAATGATCAAATGCAGCGCCGCCTCCTCAATTATTTATGAATTGAGACCCCAGTCCAATTCATCACAGCTGGTTGTGACACCATTTAATTATTCAAAATAATCAGCTACACATCTGTAAACTTTGCTTCAGCTGTCTCTGAAATCGCTGCCATTAACAAAAAGGAGGGTAGCCATTGTCTGCTTTGGCAGTGGACATATGTGATGCTCAAATGGTTCAGAATGGTTGTTGCCCGATGCTGCCTTTAGTTCACAGTACATATTGTTTGCCTGTTTTGATTGTTGAAGTTGCATTTTCCACTGAAGGGAAAGATAGTACGTTTTATAACTGAAATTTCAACCCCACAGCCTCTCTTTTCCACCATGATAAACTTAGAATGAACTCACAGAAGAATTATGGAGCATGGTTTTAAGGCTCCCCTGTGACACAAGAGCCAACTCCGTGCTCCATGTTGCTATATTTTACATTACATTTACATTTACTTTTCCACTGTGTAGTCTCACTGAAAATAGTCATGCCTTGAAAAGAAGCAGTGAAATTAGATGTGATTTTTTTTTCTGCAGATTTCTGAGATATATTTAGAAGCGTCCCATTTCTACTACCCTTTCTGTGTGATTGAAATTGCTGTTATGTGAGACATTGACTAGGTATCAGAGTATTTTAGATAATAACTTGTCCATCAAGGAATCCTGAGGAATGTGGGAAGATTGTGTGGTGACTTCTAATTCTAAGAGAAATTCCACAGTGGAACCAGCAGTGGAACCAAGGGAGTAGTGGAGTTTTTTTCATTGGATCTATTCAAGTAGAGGCTGGGCAGCCATCTGTCAAAAATGGTTTAATTTGGAATTCTGCATTGAGCAGAAAATTATGTTCACTGGCCTAATGGGATCCCAGGCCTTCTTTACAGCCCCTTCGAGTTGGGGGGAAGCTGCAAATATCTTCCAAGAAATTAATTTCAGGAGATTAGAGGCATCTGTTGATTCTTCTCGAACTTTGTAACCAGTGGAATCAATAAAAGGATCCTTTTCTCAACAGATATTAATTGGCCACCAATGTGATGATCTACTCACTTTCTTTTGCATTTTCCTGTTTCGCTGACTCTCTAACTGTTCTCAACAGAGAAACCTCTACTGGGTGGACTATCAAGGCCACAGACTTTGGATGTAACAGATGAAAATCCTGTAGCGTTTGCAGCATAATATTATTACACAAATCTGTAATGACTACTGTATATGATATATTCTCCAATTTAACAGACAATCGGGAAGAGCAGACATGCCCACTCCTCAACCAGTCCATTAAACTGAAACTTTATTGTAATTTGAATGTCCATTAAAAGAGGTTTGAATAAATTCAGATTAATAATGGCTGTTATTCAAGACAAGGGGACTCAGTGACAGTGATGTCATCCTGAATCTGAAATCTCATGTGTTGATGAGGAAGTGCTTTCTAGCTTCAGCACTTTCATCTATCAGTTTTGATGTTATTTCTCTCTGGATTCAGTTACATTGGCTGCTTCTTTTCTGTTTAAAATATTTATGTTATCAAAAAGTGAATTTTTGAGGAAGATGCCCTTTTCTTCCTCAAAAAACTAACATTTAATAATATACCCTCCCTATATTTTCATACCTCTCAAATTGTTATGGTCAATTATCCAGCTACTCCTTGGTGATTCAAGATGTAGACTGATGGATCTATGTTTCTTCTAGAATGGGAGGCATCTCTGAAAATTGGCTACTGGGGAATAATCTGCTCATTTCTCACACACATCTGATTAAACGCTGTAGGAAAAAGAAATGTGGATTTAATAGAGCTTTGGCCTGATATAGCAGAGATCTTACCCAGTTCATTTGTTATACTGATATACTTAGGCTTGGTAAGATATATAATAAATACCTGGTTATTTATATTCTGGGCCATGGCTGCCAACTAAGCATGAGCTGAATTTCCTCCTCGTGGAAGCACAAATATTGACTGCAGACAGGCATTCCAAGAAGAAAATTCAGAGTTCCAGTGTGAATTGTTTGAGTAAGTCATACATTTTCATGGAGGTGTGTAAACTAAACCACAACTTAAAATTTAGTAAAAGCATTATTTCCTGAAAATAATCATTTTTCCTATTGTTACCATTATATAATTTTATCCCAGAAATATCCCAATTTATTACCTAATTTTTTACCCATTTAAATAAGCTAATCAAGAATAAATGAACAATCTCACATCAGGGAAGAGGCTGCCTCTTTGCTATAGCACCAATATAAATCAAATAAGATTATAACAACCTCAAGCATCTAAAATGGACTAGCTCTTTCGCCACTATCCTTCTGCAATTAGGCAAAGACATTTTTTATTCTAGCTAGCCTTTGAAGATTGAATTAATTAGTTAGCTGGGTGTTATTTTTCGTTTTTCATCTATCTCTGTTTAGATTTTAATTATAATTTTGTGTTTAGCTGTATTTCACTATTAGTTGCACTGAATCTGTTTGGGGTTGGATAGTGGAATACAATAAATAAGCTTCTGGTTTGGATGGATGTCAAAACAAAAGGTCACAGACCATCAATACAAATATGTGACATGTTTTTATCCCTCCATTCTTTCTACAAGGAATACATTAATGATCCGTATTTCCTCTTTATCCATTTTATCCTCTTAACAAATATGAGTTAAGTTAACCCAAAATTACTCCATGAATTTCATAATTGAATGAAAATATGACCCTAGCTTCTCATTAGTTGGGCCCAGCTAAACGCATTGTGACCAAAACACACTGATTATCTGTTTTCTTGTAATGCAGCATAATTATAGCCCTAAATTTTGTATTTTGATGCAAGATGTATTTTGCATCTGTCTAATCTTCAGCATTTCTCCTAGAATATTTTACTGAAAAAATGCTACATTTTAGATTTTAAAAGTCCTTTAGATTTTTTCAGGTCACAATGTCTTCTAAATATTTTTTGTAAAATCAGTCATCACTTGTGAAAATCAGTCCTAACCAAGTTCTTTTGTCATTCCAGCATCCAATATCTATTCCCAGGCCTCCTACTCTGTTAGCTCAATGTGGGCCAGCTGAGACTTCAGCTGAATTAAGACAACCATTAACTCTAAGCATTAGAAAGGTTAATTAAAGTTCCTGACCTTGGAAAGGCCTTTCAGAAAAAAAATAGAAACTGGTAATTTTTCTGAGTGTCATACAACATTATAGTAGTTCCTTGACAGATACTGAATGTTGTTCCTAATATGAATGGGTTGTTGTTATTTTCTAAAGCAAGTTTAAAACCTCAATGGTTTGGATCAAACTGCTTCTAATAGGGTATTTTATTATAAAGCTGGATTCCTATTTTTGCTATAAATTAGATCAACCGAAAGTAAATTGGGAATTGTGAAGGGGGTTGTTTATTTTACTGTGTAAAATGTTGTACACACTGACATTGTTCTACATAAATAATAATTACAATTACAAATTACAAGCTGCTTTTGTAGTTTATTCCTTTTTAATATAAACTGTGACATAGGAAATTCA